CGCGGCTATACGATACTCAGTTAAACAAACTGAATTCTATATGTTTTATGTATGTGCAGCGGCACATCTGCTCGCTGAATGGTTAAACGGCAATGGGTTGCCGTTGAGCTTCAATCCTGATTTCCTCCTTCATTTTTCTTATAAAGTCTTCAAATTTTTTATTGAGTTCATCTGTTCTGTACTGGTAGTGGCTAACACGATTTGTTTCCAGCTCTGGCATGTCCATCTCTTCTTCTCGTTGCTTTATCAAAGATTCACTTCCTCCTCCTTTTTCTTCTGCGCTAAAAGCTTGAGGTATTTCTTCTGCCTGCAACAGAGCCCCATTTTTATGTTCTTCCTGTTGTCCATCTCCGTCGTCATCTTCTTCTTCTTCTTGTATAGTTGGCGATTCCCCTTCATCTTCACCAGCAGCATAAGCGATGGCGTCAAGATCCAGAGACTCATCCTTGGATTCATGATTATTAATAGAGGTGGTGCTGCAACTTGAACTGCAAAGTCTAGGACTAGGCATAGAGATTGCTTAGTTTATGGGTCCACCTCCACCTTACCTATATTTATGTAAATAGTATATAGTATGGGGCAGCAACATTTTCTATATGGTCATATTGTTTAAATATAATGTAAGCTTGGTGAGGTAGGATTACGAATATAATCATCATCACGGATTCACGGAACGGATGATCAAGTGACATAAATTCATTGGACAGCTAGCTTTTAAAAAGGAGATAGCTATATAGATATTAGACAGAGAAGTTTGACCAGGATCTTCTTGACAAAGCACCTTAATTTGCAAGAATAATCATGCCTTCCAATTACGGGTTCATCAAAACATCCCCCATTTAATTAGGAAATGGAAATACATTGCGCTTGGCAATGGCATTATGGCAAGCCGATGTTAATGAGGAAACTGACATTATTAATTGATTAATTATTGTATAATTTGAGGAGCCAATCTCTCGCACTCAAATGCATGTACAGAGTACAGACATGATGTATTCACTTCACTTGTACATCTGTTAATTGGTTGGTCACAGCAAAAATAAGTGAGGAAGGCAAGGCATACATATATAATATATATAATATATTAATTAATTGTCGAAGGAATCATGACCATTGTCTCCCCCTGTGAAGTCTTTGAGTTGGGTTTCTTCAAGCCAGGCAATATTTCAGGCTGGTACTTGGGCATATATATGGTACAAAAATGTCCAAAACAGAACAGTTGTTTGGGTGACCAACATAGACACCCCACTTTCAAATTCATCAGGAGCTCTTTTGATGAGTGGTGAACATGGAAACATTGTCCTTCTTGATCCATCTGGAAATGTCAGTTGGTCCTCCAATCACACCCAAGTTTCGAGACCAAATGTCCTGCTTTTGGATATAGGCAATCTTGTGATCAAAGAAGGAACCGAAAACAGCCAAACATATTTCTGGCAGAGCTTTGATTATCCCACACACATTCTGCTTCCAGCTATGAAGCTCGGATGGAAGTTGAGCACATGTTTAAACAGGTACTTGACCTCGTGGAAAAGATCAGAGGACCCATCAACAGGGGGCTTTTCTATCAAACTAGATCACCATGGCTTCCCTGAGATTTTCCTTTGGGACATGAGGGTATATGCTGATGGTGGCCAAGATCTCAATGTTCTAGGCGGGGGCTAGGCGGGCTAGGCTGGGGCTAGGCTCGCTAGGCAGTCTAGGCGGTGGCTAGGCGGCCTCTAGGCGGTCTAGGCGGGCGACATGAGGGTATATGCAGATGGTGCCCAAGATCTCAATGTTCTAGGCGGGGGCTAGGCGGGCTAGGCTGGGGCTAGGCTCGCTAGGCGGTCTAGGCGGTGGCTAGGCGGCCTCTAGGCGGTCTAGGCGGGCGACATGAGGGTATATGCAGATGGTGCCCAAGATCTCTATGTTCTGGGCGGGGGCTAGGCGGGCGGGCTAGGCGGGCGCTGCGCATAGAAAAAAAAACACCATTTTGGAATCTCCAAGGTCAGGGAAGAGATCACGATGGTGCTATGAGCGAGAGACAGAGAGATGAGGATTGAAGAAGAAGTCTGAGCGAGAAGAGGGGCTGGAAGACGGCTCTTGTTAGAGTTAGGGTTTGAGAAGGAAAATTGCATTTATATGTTGAAGAAAAAAAAACAAAAGAAGAGATGGGCCCCCGATTACTCCTCATTCTGAAACCCCTTTTATTTTCTCTCTTGTGTATGCAGTGCAGGTGCCAAAGACTGGAAAAGGCAAGAAAAAAGGCTCAACCCGTTAACAAGGAAGGATATTTTATCATCAGCAAGATGTTTCTCCATGGGGATTCAGTTATCATTGTTCTTAGGAGTATTAAGTGAGGTGTATTGTATGTAGCTTTGACAATTCCAATAGACTTGTACAAGTAGAGTTCATGCTGAAGATTTATATGCACTGAAGTTGGGAGCTTTTATATGCACTTTTTTAAATTAAAGCAACTTTCAAGTGTTGTATATTTCTTTGGATTTGTTTGTGAATTTCAGTTTACTCGTATTGAATGCACTTTTTAGTCGTATAGTTCTTGAACAAAACTTAACTCGTTTGAATCTGTTGGTGAATTCAATTGATAGGTATTTGCACTTCACCATATATAAGTGGTAATCTTAATTTACCTTGTGCAAGACTTGGTGAAATTATATAGTGGTAAGGTATCACCACGTAAACTGATGATATACTTTTTAGGAAATGTGTCTTTCTTACTATTATAACCGAAATTATATACTTTCTTTTGAAAGGAACAATGACAATACATTGTCCCATTAACTATACAAAAGATCATATAGCTTTTTTAGGAACAAAAATAATTTAAATTTGACATCTTGTACCTTAATTACATTATTGACACAAAGATTATCTGAAGAAATTCCATATTCTGGGTATCGAAGTGGAATCGTTGGTGACAAATCTAAATCTATAACAAAAAAAATATTTCTATATATGGGTTAGCTAATGTTGGGACTTTTGTCTGAATCACGAGCGCTCTGCATCATGCAAAAGGTGTCTCAATACAGCAAGCCAAAATCTTGGCGAGCGTTGTCGTCTTAGTCGAGGAGCTATAATATGGATGGTTGGTTGCATCCTAAAATACTCAGACACAAAATTCTTTGGTATAATCGACAAGGATAACATGGTGTATATGGGAAAAATCCTCAATGTTCTGTTCCTAATTCCAAGTTATTTCCAATGGCACTAGATCATTTGTTAAATTGATTAACTTCTGAAATTGTTTTCGGACAATTTGTATGCTACTGGAAGCATTCAGGTGACAAAGAGGAATAAAAGGACAAAAAGGATTGATCTTTATAGTTTCGGTCGAGTGTACTAGAGACTTGTCACATGAAGATTGCAAGAAGTGCCTTCACGTTGCAATAAACGAACTTCAAGGTTATAGTCAAAGAATGAGTGGTGGACGTGCTATTTATGGGAGTTGTTATGTCAGATTGAATTTTACATCTAATACTAAAATTTGTTTCTTTCAAATGGAGGTATTTATGAATAAGTAAAAAGATGTGTTAACCTTAAAAGAGATAAAATATTAAATAAATCTCAACTTCAATAGGACTAAATAAATGGGTGTGTAGGATTACATAAACGGGTAAGTACCTAAATAAACTCCCCAACACCAAATGGACAAAAATTAAGATTTATATATGTGTATATATATATATATATATATATAGACAATCTTAAGGTTTGTTTGATAACCATTTCATTTTCGCTATTTTTGAAACTCATACTTTTGAAAAAGAAAAGATATTTGGTAACATATTTCGTTTTCCGTTTTCAAAAAAGTGAAATCAGGTTATCAAAATTACCCTTATTTTTTACAACAATTTGGAAGTGGTTTTAGTTTTCAATTTTCGTGCGCTCTTTTTCACTCATCAATTTGACATAACCAAGCATGGAATGCATTCGAGGTACCAAAACTCAGTATTTGGGACCACCTTTAACTACTTTAATTACTTTAATTAGTAGTTATGTTTTAATTATTATTTACCTAGTGAATAATTAGTATTTAAATATTTTATCAAAGAAAAAATTTTAAAAAATTAAATACTATTTATTAAGTAATATAATTTGTAAAGTTAATTAAAATAATTAATACTAATTATTCACTAAAGAAATAATAATTAAAATGTAATTACTAATGAAAGTAATTATATAAGGCTAAGTAAGATATGATTTAATTAATAAAAAGAAAGTTTTTTTTTAACAAAAAAAAAAATCTATTGACTTCAAGAAACTAAGTATATTATTTCTTTTTAAAATAAACCTCTTCCGAAGAAATTTTTTCGGGAGAGGTCTAATCCGGCAAATATAAATTCATATTTTTATTGTTGGTGCAATGTGGAATTATCTTTAAAGGATAGAATATTTCAACAGTATAGTTGTAGGGCTATACTCTACAAATAAAATATTTCAATAGTATAGTCGAGCGGCAATACTTGATAAATAGAAATTTTCAATAGTATATAGCAGCTGGGCGATACTCTCTAAATAGAAATTTCAAACGTATAGCCGCCCGGCTATACCGGTAAATAGAAATTTCGAAGGTATAGCTGCGCGGCTATACGCTGTAAATAGAGTATTTCAATAAATTTTCAAAGTATAGCCGACCGGCTATACTATGTAAATAGAGTATTTCAATTAATATTTCAACTGTATATGCTTAACCACAAAGACATAATAACCTTCACTCCATCATACCATCTTCATTACTAAATTTATTCAATTATAAAATTACTAAGCTATTCCAAATATGATTCATTCCACCCACTCCCAAGCTCATTCACGTTTGTTTACATTAACCCAAGCAAATCCTGGACTGAAACATCCTGTTCATATACTTGAAGAAGTGTTGGCACTGCACTAACCTGAGAGAAGATGAAATCCATTCCCTAAGGGTTCGAGCATTCAACATAGTTTCGGCTGTTGTAAAGGTCTTCGAAACTACCACAAGTGCAAATATCAAAAGAATATGAATGAACGATAAGAAACCCCACGTAGAGCTTAGATTACAAAAGTCAATATGTAGTGATATAACTAAACTTAATGCTTATCAAGGGTAGTTTCTGGGTTTAACTCTGCAATATTTCGGGCAACTTCAAGCACCACAACTACAACCAACACACAGAATACAGATGGTGGCCAAGATCTCTACGTTCTAGGCGGGGCTAGGCGGGCTAGGCTGGGGCAAGGGTCGCTAGGCGGTCTAGGCGGGCGACATGAGGGTATATGCAGATGGTGGCCAAGATCTCTGTGTTCTGGGCGGGGGCTAGGCGGGCTAGGTTGGGGCTAGGCGGTCACTAGGCGGGCTAGAAGGCCTCTAGGCGGTCTAGGCGGTCTAGGCGGGGGCTAGGCGGTCTAGGCGGGCGGTCTAGGCGGGCGCTGCGCATAGAAAAAAAAACGCCATTTTGGAATCTCCAAGGTCAGGGAAGAGATCACGATGGTGAGACAGAGAGATGAGGATTGAAGAAGAAGTCTGAGCGAGAGAGAGGGGCTGGAAGACGGCTCTTGTTAGAGTTAGGGTTTGAGAAGGAAAATTGCATTTATATGTTGAAAAAAAAAAAAAAAAAAAAAAAAAAAAGAAGAAGATGGCCCCCGATTACTCCTCATTCTTAAACCCCTTTTATTTTTCTCTCTTGTGTTTTGTTCCACTATTCGGTTCTGTCTTCTTTTATGTTGGTTGGTAGATCTTCATCAATCATCAAAGTTCTTTTTTCTCGTGATATTTGTGTGATCTTTTTTTTTCTTTTTTTCTTTTTTCTTTTTGTGTGTGTGTGTGTGTGTGTGTGTGTGTGTGTGTGTGTGTGTGTGTGTGTGTGTGCAGTGCAGGTGGAAACGGCAAGAAAAAAGGCTCAACCCCTTAACAAGGAAGGATAGATTATCATCAGCAAGATGTTTCTCCGTGGGGATTCAGTTATCATTGTTCTTAGGAGTATTAAGTGAGGTGTGTTGTATGTAGCTTTGAATAATTATACAGAGAATGCATCTAACATAGTCCCTGAATATGGGCTATGTTTCTTCAAGCACCACAACTACACACTAATAAAACTTTTTAAATGAGCTTCGATTTCTTCGAATATATAATAAAATCTTCATATTTCAAAATGAGTATTTCTGTGATTTTAGGGGTTACTGAGTTAAACAATATGGGTAGAATATTTCAGATGTATTTCATTCTCCGAAAGGAGGTATTTATTAATACAAGGTTACAAACCCTAGTATGGTTATACTAGGAAATAAGAAAAATCCTAATTACATAATATCTATATAAAAAGGAAACAAATAAAATTCTAATAGAATAAGAAAGAAATATCCTAATAAGACTAGGATATCTCGCCAACACTCCCTCTCAAGTTGGAGCAAAGACGTCACGCATGCCCAACTTGTCAAGCGAGTTGTGGACGATACTAGTAGAAACAGCATTTGTAAGGACATCTGCTAACTGATACTCAGAACTGATGAATGGGAAGGAAACAATCTCCGCATCCAACTTTTCTTTAATGAAATTTCGATCAACCTCCACATGCTTTGTACGATCATGTTGTACAGGGTTATGAGCAATTGCACAGTAACTCACATACACCATGGGCCATTCCACGATACTCGGCCTCAGCACTAGATCGAGACACCACCTTTTGTTTCTTGCTTCTCCAAGTAACAAGATTACCACCAACAAACGTAAAATACCCAGACGTAGAACGTCTATAAGTAGCCGAACCTGCCCAATCAGCATCGGTGTATCCTTCCACATCTGTATGACCATACTTGGAAAACATTAACCCTTTGCCATGAGTTACTTTGAGATATCTCAAAATACGCGTCACAGCTGCCATATGATCTTCACTAGGTGCGTGCATAAACTGACTCACCACACTTACTGCATACGCAATGTCAGGACGTGTATGAGCTAAATAAATTAATTTCCCCACAAGCCGTTGATAGCGCTCATTATTAGTAGGAACTTGATCAGGATATAACCCCAACTTGTGATTCTGTTCACTAGGAGTATCAATTGGTTTACAATCCAACATTCCAGTTTCTGCAAGTAAATCCAAAACATACTTCCTTTGGGACAAGAAAATACCATGCTTAGATCTGGCCACTTCAATCCCGAGAAAGTACTTCAAGTCACCTAATGATTTCATCTCAAATTCAGACGCCAGATATTTCTGGAGACTCTGTATTTCTGTCTGATCATCTCCAGTTACAATCATATCATCAACATAAATTATTAAAGCTGTCAATTTACCTTTCCGACGCTTCAAAAACAAAGTATGATCCGAATTACTTTGTACATACCCAGACTTCCTCATAGATGCAGCAAACCTCTCAAACCAAGCTCTTGGAGACTACTTTAATCCATATAAGGATTTCTGTAGTTTGCACACCATACCCTCCTTAGAGGTTACAGGGATACCTGGCGGAGGGTCCATGTATATTTCTTCCTTGAGGTCACCATGAAGGAATGCATTTTTGACATCAAATTGTAACAGAGGCCAATCATGATTAGCAGCCAAGGACAAAAGTACGCGTACAGTATTGAGCTTTGCTACTAGAGCAAAGGTCTCCGTGTAATCCACTCCATAAGTCTGAGTATAACCTTTCGCTACCAACCTTGCCTTGTAACGGTCAATGGAACCATCAGCCTAGTGCTTCAGAGTAAACACCCATCTGCACCCAACTGCCTTTTTTTCCTTTTGGTAAAGGGACTAGCTCCCAAGTGGCATTCTTATTTAAGGCTTCCATCTCAACATGCATTGAATCTACCCATTTTGGATTTGATAAAGCATCCTGCAACTTAGTTGGCACACATACACTAGATAATTGACACAAATATGATGCATATGACTTAGACAGCCGATGAGTTGACACCAAAGAAAATTCATCAGAAACAATACTGCTTTGCTGGACATAATTCTTACTCAGGCCCATCATTCTGTTCCTTCTCAAAAACAAAAAGCAAAGGAGGGTTTCAGAAAATTGTGTCGTTTAGCAATTAAGTGTTGTTAATTCTAAATGGCTGTACCTTTTACAGGATTATATAGACATCATGGAAGGGGCAACTTTATTTGACAGGCAAGCTTCTGCCCATATATGTGATGCCGGGGAAGAGTCGGTGGGATTGCGAAAGAAGCTTGCAGCCCAAAATTTTGGGGAATAAACAAAAGCTGCCAATACTGTTTAAATGGTATAGTCAGACGGCTATCTCTTTTCATATATAGCGTGCGGCTATACACATTAAATATATTCGAATATTTAATAGTACAGCCGCACAGCGATACTCTTTGATTATAATAGTTTAACATTATAGCCGTACGACTATACTATTTTAATATATTGGAATATTTTAATAGTATCGCCGCGTGGCTATACTCTTTAATACATTTGAAAATTTTAATGGTACAGCCGCACGGCTATACTCTTTTAATACATTCTAATATTTTAATGGTATAGCCGGTCGGCTATACGCTTCCAATACATTCGAATATTTTAATGGTACCGCCAGGCGGCTATACTCTTTCAATACATTCGAATATTTTAATGGTATAGCCGCCTGGTTATACTCCTTGAATACATTCTGATATTTTAATGGTACCGCCGCGCGGCTATACTCTTGCAATACATTCTACTATTTGAATGGTATAGCCGCCCGGCTATACTCTTAAAAGATTAAGTAGGTCTATGTTCTTTCCCTTGAGTTTTTCAATTGGGTTGCAGCTCGAAACCCCACTTCACTTACCCTTGAAACACACTCCATGATTCTCCACAGTCTCACCAAATATCGGAGATTCAATCTGCAGAGTCTATTTTGAGAAAGATTCTTGTCTCAGGTTCGACAGACTTGCCTTCGAAGTTGTTTGAAGCAATACTGTTTTCGTACCGCTTATGTGATTCTTCTCCTCGTGTTTTTTATTCTCTTTTCAAGACTTTTGCTCATATGAAGAAATTTAGGAATGCCACAAACACCTTTTGTCAGATGAAGGATTATGGATTCTTCCCAACAGTAGAGTCTTGCAATGCATATCTGAGCTCATTGCTTCAATGACATAGAGCTGATATTGCTTTGGTATTCTATAGAGAAATGCAGCGTTGTAGGATAGGGATTTTTGCTCAAGTTGTAAGAGGCCTTTGTTAATTGGTTTACTTAATTTAACTCCCTTTCTCTTGAGGCATGCACTTGAGCTTGTTCCAGATAAATTCACGTAAACAATCCTCTCTTTGTTTCAAACAAGCCCTTAAACATGGTTCCATACGACATAACTGTGGTAGATTGTAAGTCTAATTGAAGAATTAATTAGTGCATCAATGCAAAATAATATCAGCAATGCAATAGACCCATACTAATTTTGGTTAAAAGGTGCCAAATACGCATACAACAAATCAAACGTTCTCATCAGCTTTAAGTAAAATTATCAGCATTACAATTTTCATATACCTAGGACCCACTAGAACCCACCTACTTAAATGTATCAGAGTTTCTAAATATGTCACGACTCCTCTTCGCCAGCTTCAGCAGCAGCTATATGAGAATCCAATGTGTTTATCAGCTGCTCACTTACTGTTTTTGCCACAGATATCATGTCAAGAATGATGCTTGGATCTAGGCCGGCACCTCCCCGTTTTGTCAACCCACAAATGCGGCCTTGCCTATTGATGGAAATAGAAACAGCCAAGCACATTTGTGATTCCTCTTCTGAAGTGGCATCTACAATATAGTGCCTGCCTACCTGAGAAACAGATGGGAAGGAATCAATACAAGGCAATAAACATTTGCAGCTTGCAGAAGGACAGAAGAGATGGTTAAATCATGTCACCTTTGTTAATGTAACTATTACAGGGACCCTAGATGTGTCAAATTGCAGAAATTCCTCATCGCTTACGTCAACCTCTGGTTGCTCATCACCTGATGCACCAGCTGCAACATTTACTTTTGGGATGCCTGTATTGCTCAAAGCAGCCTTTGGGAACATCAGTTTCTTTAAAAGATAAGTCATGCCACTGGACTTTTCTTTGGCCACATAATACTAAACTTTACCAACAGCCAGAAAACTCTTGCAGAACAGAAATTAATTAAGCATGTCAAACAAATAAGAATTATCAAATACCTTTATAGCAGTACCTAGGGCATCTAGCAGATTCCCATCTGAACTAACAACAAGGCCGTTGATGTAAAGATCCCAACAGATCTTTCCTTCCACAACTACCAGAGAGGAGAGATCAATTCCAGCACCTGGGACAAACAAAGACATCTATATATATTATCGACTTTGCAGTTATATGAAAATGCATGTACAACTGAGAAATATGTATTGCCAAAAGAGATAATACATAAATGTCACAACAAATTTATTATGCTAAGCTCTTCAATAAGAATACAGACCAGATCCACTTTTACCGCCCAAGAGACAACGTTGAAGAGCAACCAAGAGTTCAGCTGACAGCTCCTCACCCCCTCTACCCTGTAGAAATGTAACAAAACAACAGCATTACAAAAAGAATAAACACATAGGTCCTACAAAGGAAAAATAGACATTCAACCTTTGCAATGTACACAAACAAGAAAAGTTCAGATTGCCTAATAGGATTATAAGAATAGACAAAAAATGGGCAGAATACGATATTTAGTTCCCTCGTATTTTATCAGAGCATGAATTCCACTAAATCAATAGTTTGCACTTTCTACAGGATCTTGCAGAAACCAAGATGTAAACCTCAATTGACAAAGTAAATCAATGATCCGTAGCAAAGAAATTAGATTGGTGATTACAAATTACATATACAGAAATGAAGTATCAGGTTAAGAATGCACATAATAGTGGAGTCAGTCAGCCACTCGAGGGCAACTAAGCACTAACAATTATGTACCTTCTATTCTGACCTTGTTTTTATACATACATATTACTATAGAATACATGTAAATGAGAATGTATTTCCCATGTCGCATCTTATTTTCTATTTCTCATTTCACATGATTGTGTTTGTGCTCATAGGCAGATACATTATTTCCAAATTGACAAAAGATAGGCTTCATATTACATACCTCTCTGGAGTGCTTCAAATCTGCTTCATGATCTACTGAGCAGTTTTCAGGGGAAGTTTCTTCATAAGAACTGGTATTAGTACAAACAGAATTATTCAATTTGGTTATCAATGAGCAGCTATTTTCCACGGGCAGTGATTTCCTTTGTATATTAGACTCATCCATATCCTTTTTTCTTTTATTCCTTCGGCAGAAAGTAATCAATGGGGAGGTCAACTTGTTTCACGCAAGCTGAATCACCACCTAATTATCTAACTTATTTCTAGAGAATGAATCAGTGTCTTCTAAGTTTGATGTATTCAATCTTGGCGAGCAACCATCACATTCAGAGCTGCTTTTTCTTTCAAATGCTGCTGCTGCTGCGGATGATGATTTTTGTCTTACAAAATCAGCAGTAACTATAGCGGAATTCATCACCAATTGAGAAACTAAACTCCCTCCAACATTATTATCATCAACCAAAAATAGTACTAACATTCTCTACATAAAACACAGGCAGTGAGGTACAAGCAAAAATGCCATTTTGCATATTAAAGAATAAGCAAAGCAAGAGAAGCTAAACGCATGCCATTCACAGAAATGTTTAAACTTCAGAATCAATTTGAATTCAAGTAGCCTAACGCATGCCATTCACAGAACCTTGTTATTGGCAAGACCACAGAAACACCATGATAGGACAACTTCATCGTTTCCTTCCACAGAGGACAGACACCAAGTCAGCAAATTTTGTATTTTTTTCTTCTGCGCCATGTCGTCAGTGCGAAGCGAGAAGAATATAAGGCTCGAAACAGGGAGAGGAATGGAATTAGATGAATTAAGAGTCTCATGATCTCTTCTTCTATGGACCCGACTTGTGCTTCACTGCTTCGGCTTCCCAATCTCAAATTTGCAGCTAAATTTTTTCAATTTCACTTTCAGTCAATCGCAGTGTTCGAAAAGTCGGCCTAGGCGGGCAGCTAGGCGGCTAGGCTGGCGCTAGGCTACTAGGCGGTGACTAGGCGGTGGCTAGGCAGGCGCTAGGTGGCTACGCAGTGGCTAGGAGGGCGCTAGGCGGCTAGGCGGTCGCCAGGCGGGCGCTAGGCGGCTAGGCGGCTAGGCGGGCGCTAGGCGTGGCTAGGCGGGCGCTAGGCGGCTGGGTAGTAGCTAGGCAGGCGCCTAGGCGGGTTGGGTCTTTTTTCGGTGCTGAACCCGGAGGACGAAGCAGTGACTGCGAGAGAGAGTTCCGTCCCCTGCGACAGCAAGCTTCGTGTTCGTTCGAATATATTTAAAGAGTATAGCCGTTCGGCTGTACGTTTAAAATATTCGAATGTAATTAGAATGTATAGCCGCGCGGCTGTACGTTTATAATTTCTGTTTATAGAGTTGAGCCTTGCGGCTATAATACAAACGTACAAAGCAAGACGTATCATCCAAAGGAAACGAATCATACAAAGAAGATGTAATATAAACGTATATCAATTTCTAAGCTGTTGTTGCTGTGTCCTTTCGAGAATGAACGAATACCATTGCTTGTTAATCTTGCCTGAGTGAGTCAACAACTGGCAGAAAAAATATCAATCAGTTAAATAATCATTCGAATACATACATTACACATAGGAGAGCCTAAGGAAAAAGAAACCTTCTTGTAGCATATACCATTCTGCAGTTCAATAGGCGGGCTCTCACTAATACATCGGCAATAACTAGAATCTAAAGTGTATTTATATGTTTCAACACTTGAGCATTGAACATAAAAGTGGCTTGCAATTCGACCAATTTCTGTACAGTAGAAGTTGCTACTTTTCTCATCCAAGCGCATCATTTTTGCTTTGTCCAGGGCACGTGCAGCATCTGTTATATGAGAGCTCTTTGCTTTAAACTCAAGGAAGGATGCAAAATGCAGAAAGGACGCTCTGATACCACTTGATGCAGTTCAAGTATGAACTCGCAGAGCTTGTTACTACTTTTTTCCTTGTGGATTTCCTTACTACTCTTCACCTTGTTTCTTACTTGTTTTGCACTTTAAAGTATGCTGATAATCTCGTTGGCTAAAAATATATGCGAATAATTTCACAATCTACTGTCTACTAGATCCCTCCACTAGTTTATGAATCTTTGAGGTAATTTATTTCATTTAATATTATAGCCGCACGGCTATACGCTTTGAATATATCGGAATATTTTAATCGTATATCCGCTCGGCTAGACGCTTTGAACACATTCGAATATTTTAAAAGTACCGCCGCCAGGCTATACTCTTTTAATATAATCGAATATTTAAATTGTATAGCCGCGCGGCTATACTGTTTGAATACATTCGAATGTTCGACAGTATAGCCCACCGGCTATACCCTTTAATTATATTTATTTTAATAGTATAGCCGCTCGGCAATACTCTTTAAATATATTCGAATTCTTTAAATATATACGAATTGTTAGAGAGAGAGGTAGAGATCGCTCAGAGCTCAATTTAAGTTGTTGATTCTTAGAAGCTTCAGTGTATTTGATTTGGTGGGATTTTTGTTTTGTTTGTAAGAATAGAAGACAAAAAACAAATCCAACCATCGGGAGACTAGATTTGTTACTAAAATCTATAGAAACTTGAAAGATATAATTGGTATGAGTTTGAAAATTGGATCCCATTCATTCATGCATTAGAAACAAAGGTTTCTTCCCTGCTACATCTATATAAAGTACACCATTGTTCTTCAATCCTACCATGCATCCAATATTGTTTCTCAAGGAAGAGAGAATCAGAAAATGAAATCCCAGAAGTTTCTTTTTGGTTCTCGTTGCTGCCATGGCTGTATCTGCCCTTTTAGTAACCTCAAGTACTCTTCCTAACATTTTGCCTTTTTTTCGACTTGGTCACATGCAATTGATCTTGTTTTAGCAAAACATCATGTGACTGACAGAGTTGGGAAAAAGAGTTGCATTGTACAAAACCAGAAACTACAATGCTGTTGGAGCCACTAAAGAAGACAGACAGAGAGATCAACCTTATCATCCTCGTACTTTTTAAATATATAATAAAATCTTCATATTTCAAAATGAGCATTTCTGTGATTTCAGGGTGTTATCTTAGTTTTCCCCAAGTGCATATACCGTTTTCTCTTTGAAGTGAAGATTCTGCAAATATATATTATTTCAGAACAAGGAAACTGGATGCTTCTGCAATGTAAAAATAATTACAAAATCTTTCAAGAACACAAGGAAACATCATTTTCAGAACAAGAGAACCCTTGGTAAACCAAACACCCATATCAAGAGTGCCCTTGAGATAACGAAGAATTCGTTTGACAGCACCCAAATGATTAGAGCGAGGCTGATGTAAATGCTGGCAGACTAGATTAACTGCATAGGAGAGGTCTGGCCTTGTCCAAGTGAGATACTGAAGGGCTCCAACAGTAGAGCAATAAAAGGTAGCGTCAGCAAGAATGTCACCAGAGTTATCCAACTTGTAAGAGCCAAGAGGAGTAGAACAGGGGCTGGAGCCAATAAAATCTGTTTTCTTGAGGAGATCACAGGCATATTTGGTTTGAGAAACAAAAATACCCTTGCCAGATCGATGAACTTCTAACCAAGAAAGTAATGTAAAGGACCAAGATCTTTAACAGGAAACTTGGCACTAAGAAGAGAAATAAGAGATCTGCAGGCAGTGTTGCAATTCCTAGTAACTAGGATATCATCGACATAGACCATATTGTGTATCTTTTTATCATCAACCAATGCTCCAGCATTAGCATTTGAAGATGAGCCTACTTTCTTGCCACTAGACTTATTCCCATATGCATCCCTTTGGGAAGGAACCTCATCAAGACTTGTCGGAACGGTTTTTAATTGGTTTCTTTTCCTTATGGGGCTTATCTAGGCATTGGAGATTATAGGACTGAAGGCATTTTCTACAGTGCTTCAGGTTACCCCCAACACAGCACACAAAACATACATGGCATACCTGCAAGAAAAAGTGGCAGGCGAGACAGAATATAGCAATGACCTTAAAATAAATTATAGGTCTAAGACAACTAAGAGAAGACCTTCGTAGAAACCGAAATTAAAGAACTAAATCTAAATACTACTAGATACGCTTTCAAGGGTCGGTTGAATAGGGCACATTTTGGTGGTATCTGGTAATCCCTTAAAAAACCTTTTTCTTTTCAGTATTTTTTTCAAGAACAAAATTATTAGAGGAAAAATAGGGAAGGATGGATTATTAAATTATCTACATAAAGATGATTGACATACAACATATGTCCCTATGAAACAAACTAAAAAAGTGAACAGGTTCCAACTTTCTAAAATCTCACCGCAGAATTTCTGTTGTAATTTTCTGAGGTACGCTTATCAATCAAATGAACTTGCAAAGTCTGGTGGTTTGCTTAAAGAAGTATCATCGGGGGCAACAAAAAGTGAATTACGGCACTCATGTACAGGATCTGTTCTTGATTGCCGCTTTCGCTTATACGTTAGCAACACTTTGCTTCCTGACATTTAAGCTTTCAAAAAGAAATCTTGCTGCAATTCCAAACACTTGGACCGCATTTTTCACATGAAATTTGTATTTATTCCACTATATGTTCAGTCTCATTTCAACACAGAAAAACCTGCATATGTTAAGGAAGAATATCCAATTAACTAAACAGCAAGTCATGACTCATAGTTAATACAGTTATGAGTAGCAACACAATGATAGCTGAAGGGCAAAAGACGGATTTCGACTACTCTGAAATAGTGAATCACTATTACGAGGAATGCGGCAAACAAAAATTGTACTAACATTCTCCACCTAAAACACAGGCAGTGAGGTACAAGCATAAATGCCATTTGCGTATTAAAGAATAAGCATAGCAAAGAGAAGCTAAACGCATGCCATTCACAGAAATGTTTAAACTTCAGAATCAATTCAAATTCAAGTAGCCTAACGCATGGCATTCACAGAACCTTGTTATTGGCAAGACCATAGAAACTCCATGATAGGACAACTTCATCATTTCCTTCCCAATCTCAAATTTGCAGCTAAATTTTTTCAATTTCGGGTTTCAGACTTCCAGTCAATCGCAGTGTTCGAAAAGTCGGCCTAGGCGGGCAGCTAGGCAATGGCTAGGCTGGCGCTAGGCTACTAGGCGGTGACTAGGCGGTGGCTAGGCAGGCGCTAGGCGGCTAGGCAGTGGCTAGGAGGGCGCTAAGCATGTCAAACAAATAAGAATTATCAAATACCTTTATAGCAGTACCTAGGGCATCTAGCAGATTCCCATCTGAACTAACAACAAGGCCGTTGATGTAAAGATCCCAACAGATCTTTCCTTCCACAACTACCAGAGAGGAGAGATCAATTCCAGCACCTGGGACAAACAAAGACATCTATATATATTATCGACTTTGCAGTTATATGAAAATGCATGTACAACTGAGAAATATGTATTGCCAAAAGAGATAACGCATGCCATTCACAGAACCTTGTTATTGGCAAGACCATAGAAACTCCATGATAGGACAACTTCATCATTTCCTTCCACAGAAGACAGACATCAAGTCAGCAAATTTTGTATTTTTTTCTTCTGCGCCATGTCGTCAGTGCGAAGAGAGAAGAATATAAGGTGCGAAACCGGGAGAGGAATGGAATTAGATGAATTAAGAGTCTCATGATCTCTTCTTCTATGGACCTGACTTGTGCTTCACTGCTTCGGCTTCCCAATCTCAAATTTGCAGCTAAATTTTTTCAATTTCGGGTTTCAGACTTTCAGTCAATCGCAGTGTTCGAAAAGTCGGCCAAGGCGGGCAGCTAGGCGGCTAGGCTGGCGCTAGGCTACTAGGCGGTGACTAGGCGGTGGCTAGGCAGGCGCTAGGCGGCTAGGCAGTGGCTAGGAGGGCGCTAGGCGGCTAGGCGGTGGCTAGGCGGCTAGGCGGTGGCTAGGCGGGCGCTAGGCGGTGGCTAGGCGGTGGCTAGGCGGCTAGGTAGTAGCTAGGCGGGCGCCTAGGCGGGTTGGGTCTTTTTTCGGTGCTGAACCCGGAGGACGAAGCAGTGACTGCGAGAGAGAGTTCCGTCCTCTGCGAGTGCAAGCTTCGTGTTCGTTCGAATATATTTAAAGAGTATAGCCGTTCGGCTGTACGTTTAAAATATTCGAATGTAATTAGAACGTATAGCCGTCCGGCTGTACGTTTATAATTTCTGTTTATAGAGTTGAGCCTTGCGGCTATAATGGAAACATATCATACAAAAGAAGACGTATCATCCAAAGGAAACGAATCATACAAAAGAAGATGGAATATAAACGTATATCAATAGACCAACTTGACCAAATGAGAATACAATTTGCTGATTATTTGCTGATTAACAAGAAGTCAAGTGCAAGTACATAATTTCAAAAAATAAAAAAAAACTTCTGACTTTAGTGTGATTTGAGCTGCAGATTAAACCATCCAATTCTTATACTCCGATGAGCTTGTGTTGGAAGACTTGCTGGAGCATTTCTGTGGTCTTAGGGTTGACTGCATGTCTGTTCATATTAGTTTTCCTATTTGTGCACGCATAATCATCCTAACTTGATCTAAGTATTTGATGTTGTGATGGTTTATCCATGCAATTTGGAGCAGTATTTTCTCTGCCTTTTTCCTTTTTAAGTGAAGATTGTACAAATCTATTAATTTCAGAACAAGGATACAACTTCTGCAATGTAAAATTAAGTACAGTTACATTACAACACAAGGATTCTCACTCTAGCCCATCATCATGTGACAGAGTTGGGAAAAGAGTTGCATTGTACAAAACCAGAAACTACAATGCTAGAGAAGACAGACAGAGAGACTAATAATGCAACCATATCATCTTCCTTGTACTTTTTAAATGAGCTCCGATTTCTTCGAATATATAATAAAATCTTCATATTTCAAAATGAGCATTTCTGTGATTTTAGGGGTGACTGCATGTTATCTTATTTTTCCTAAGTGCATATACCGTTTTCTTTATGAAGTGAAGGTTCTGTAAATATATATATACTATTTCAGAACAAGGAAACTGGATACTTCCGCAATGTAAAAATAATTACAAAATATTCATGTTCTTCTTAGCCAATGGTAAATCAAAGAAAATTCATCACAAACAAGACTGATTTACTCAGGCCTATCATTCTGTTCCTGCTCAAACACAGAAAGCAAAGGAGGGTTTCAGAAAATTATGCCTTTTAGCAATTAAGTTAGTTGCATGTTTTGGAAAATTGAATGCTTTATTGTTTAAATGTTGTTAATTCTAAATGACTGTACCTTTTACAAGATTATATAGACATCATGGAAGGGGCAACTTTATCTGACAGGCAAGCTTCTGCCCATATATGTGATGCTGGGGAAGAGTCGGTGGGATTGCGAAAGAAGCTTGCAGCCCAAAATTCTGGGGAATAAAGAAAAGCTGCTAATACTGTTCAAATATTTTCGAAACAAAATAAAATAAAATAAATATTCGAATATTTAACGGTATAGCGTGCAACTGTACACGTTAAATATATTCGAATATTTAATAGTACGGCCGCTCGGCTATACGCTTTGATTATAATAGTTTAATATTATCGCCGTACGGCTATACTCTTTAAATATATTGGAATATTTTAATGGTATAGTCGCCCGGCTATACTCTATAATACATTCGAATATTTTAATAGTATAGCCGATCGGCTATACGCTTTGAATACATTCGAATATTTTAATGGTACCGCCGCGCGGCTATACCCTTGCATTACATTTAAATATTTTAATAGTATAGCCACTCGGCGATACTCTTTCAATACATTCTAATATTTTAATAGTATAGCCGTGCGGCTATACTCTGTGAATACATTCAAACATTTTGCAGGCACATCAATGCACTTAACTGCGGTAGATTGCAAGTCTAATTAGTGCATCAATGCAAAATAATATCAGCAAAGCAATAGACCCATACTAATTTTGGTTAAAAGACAAATCAAACGTTCTCATCAGCTTTAAGTAAATTATCAGCATTACAATTTTCATATACCCAGGACCCACACGAACCCACCTACTTAAATGTATCAGAGGTTCTAATTATGTCACGACTCCTCTCCGCCAGCTTCAGCAGCAGCTATATGAGAATCCAATGTGTTTATCAGCTGCTCACTTACTGTTTTTGCCACAGATATCATGTCAAGAATGAAGCTTGGATCTAGGCCGGCACCTCCCCGTTTTGTCAACCCACAAATGCGGCCTTGCCTATTGATGGAAATAGAAACAGCCAAGCACATTTGTGATTCCTCTTCTGAAGTGGCATCTACAATATAGTGCCTGCCTACCTGAGAAACAGATGGGAAGGAATCAATACAAGGCAATAAACATTTGCAGTTTGCCGGACAGAAGAGATGGTTAAATCACGTCACCTTTGTTAATGTAACTATGACAGGGACCCTAGATGTGTCAAATTGCAGAAATTCCTCATCGCTTACGTCAACCTCTGGTTGCTCATCGCCTGATGCACCAGCTGCAACATTTACTTTTGGGATGCCTGTATTGCTCAAAGCAGCCTTTGGGAACATCAGTTTCTTTAAAAGATAAGTCATGCCACTGGACTTTTCTTTGGCCACATAATACTAAACTTTACCAACAGCCAGAAAACTCTTCAGTTGTCTTGCAGAACAGAAATTAATTAAGCATGTCAAACAAATAAGAATTATCAAATACCTTTATAGCAGCACCTAGGGCATCTAGCAGATTCCCATCTGAACTAACAACAAGGCCGTCGATGTAAAGATCCCAACAGATCTTTCCTTCCACAACTACCAGAGAGGAGAGATCAATTCCAGCACCTGGGACAAACAAAGACATCTATATATATTATCGACTTTGCAGTTATATGAAAATGCATGTACAACTGAGAAATATGTATTGCCAAAAGAGATAATACATAAATGTCACAACAAATTTATTATGCTAAGCTCTTCAATAAGAATACAGACCAGATCCACTTTTACCGCCCAAGAGACAACGTTGAAGAGCAACTGCGAGTTCTGCTGACAGCTCCTCACCCCCTCTACCCTGTAGAAATGTAAGAAAACAACAGCATTACAAAAAGAATAAACACATAGGTCCTACAAAGGAAAAATAGACATTCAACCTTTGCAATGTACACCAACAAGAAAAGTTCAGATTGCCTAATAGGATTAGAAGAATAGACAAAAAATGGGCAGAATTCGATATTTAGTTCCTTCGTATTTTATCAGAGCATGAATTCCACTAAATCAATAGTTGTACTTTCTACAGGATCTTGCAGAAACCAAGATGTAAGCGTCAATTGACAAAGTAAAACATGAGAAGGAAGCGGATAATACTTGTTAACCTCAAACATTGGTGCTGCAGTGGGACTGCAATCAACATTCACAACGACCTTTCCTTTGTCAGGTTGCAACGCATTCGGCCTTCCAAGTTCTGCCTGCACTCATTCAAATTTACCAGAAAATATGATATTAAGAACAGCAGGTGCTATTCAAATAATTAGACTAACAAACAACGTAAATTTAGTCATAACATTCTAAAAGCACTAGTATGAGCTTAAGACCAAGACTAAATGATACCTTCACACTGGCAATGACATCTGTGGCACCCATCCTGACCCTTGCTGAACCATTTGCCTGCATGGACGCCATCAAGAACAGGGATTATAACAAGGTAAGTAAAATTTCACGTCACCCAGGAAAATCTATACTTGAAAATTCAAAACCTTGGTTAAAAAAAAAACAAACAAACAAAAAAAAAAAAAAAAAACAAAAAAAAAAAAAAATTTCAAAAGAAACATATGACAGAAACATTAACCTGGGAAATGACTCCAGTTTCAACATAGATGGGCCGAGTTGTCAATCTTTTTCGGCCATCAGATCGAAGATCCTGAGCAATGCCACCCTGTATAAAATGCTTTTCTCCTATGGATAGTCCCACCATTTCTGAACATGTAATATGAAAAACGTTTATGATACAACTAACTTAATAGATATCAGGAGACAACAGAAGAAAAATAAAAAAAATTAACGCTTAGCAAAGAGAAAATCTACATTCTACAGTGTGCTAAATCAAGGTGAACAATTAAGTCTAAGCAAAGGCAGTCACTGTGAATGCTCACATATCAATAAAGAGCAAAGAGAACTGGCTGACCAGATGGGTTCAACCAAGCAACCAACTAGCTATCACTTCACAACCACAATTATCTAAAAAATTGGTGCCCAACTAATCCCATCTAAGCAAAAATTTGCCAACTTTCCAATGAACACTAACAAACAAAGAGAAATAATTACTGAGCAGAGACGATGCTGATGAAGGCCTAATGAATGAGAGAAGGCTGTGGTGGTGGCGGTGGCGGGTTGCTGAGGCTGAGAGAGATATGGAAGGAAAGGCTGTTAGGGGCTTAGGGTTAGGGATTTCCAAAATCAAATTAGGGCAATTTGACACCTTCTTCAAGTGACTTAGCGACCACTTTTCTTTTTCTCTTTATTTTTTTCCCTATTGTTACTTTTAGCAGGAACGCCTACCTTCGCTTGCTCGTCTTATTAAGCTCTTCTTCCTAACTCATCATGCATACTTTCATATAAGTAATTCCTAAGTGATTATTTTCGTTAGATTCAGAGGAATTTCTTTAACCTAATCCTTCACTCGTCATGCGTACTTTCATATAAGTAATATCCTCATTATAAAAAATAGTTAGGCTTGCTGTCTAAGTTTCCCTTGCTTCCCTACATATACTCAAATAATATGTGGGAATTTTGGCAGGCTGGATGAGAGGAAACGTAGGAAGGATTTCAAACTTGAAAGAAATCTGCTATACCCTGACCCTTTTGAGAAGAACCTCCCACCTGAAGAGAGAGAAATATATCACCGCTTCAAGGTTTTCATGCGGTTCCACTCAAATGAAGAGCACAAGGAATTGCTCAAGAGTATCATTAAGGAACAACAGGTTGTCAAAAGGATACTAGATCTTCAGGTCTGATGCATGCCTCACACTTGACTTCTATTTCTGTTACCTTATTTCCCTCTATATACAGTATATACTATGACTGTTGGTTACAAAGAAAATTTGAAAGCATGCAAAAGCATGCCGTGTCCTAAAATCCTATGTGCTGTATCAAATACAAAATGCTTCTCTATATGTCTTTAACAGATGAATGCATACCTCCTTCAAGAACTATGCCACTGAAATAAACTCATGAACACAGACAATCTCATTGTTCCAATCAGGTAGGTCCTAAAATGAAGGAGCTGAAAGAAAATATTAAAGTTCGAACTTACGCCCTCATCTTGGAAGGACTTGTTCCATCAGCACCACCAACTATTGATCTTGACATCTGATGTAAATCTATCAGAAATAAATGAACAAAATATAACTTAATCAGAGCTAACTTGGTCTTAGAATGGTAGGTTTTAATAAAATTTCTCAAGATGCAACACAAATGTTTCAGAAATGAGTACAGCTATGTTTAACATCAGATATAGCAGATGAGGATAATTATAAATGACACACAAATTAAGTGTTATGTTTGTTTTAGGTGAACCTGGAGATGCTACTAAGGTTGAATCCCATACTCAAACTCATACAGATCGGACTATGGAGATCTAACAAGACATGTTAGCATTGAAATTGAATGAAAATATGGAAAAATGGGTACAAGTACTCAACCAATGGATTTCCCTGTCCCCATCCGTTTCATGTTCATGCATTCTTTAGCTCATGTCCTGAAGATAACACATAAAACAACAAAAGTGGATACTCACGGAATGTAAACAAGTAGCTCAAGATCACCCTCATTGCTCTCCAAGTGTTCCTGTGGCAGAAAGTAGGATCAGATGGGCTTCATATGACTAGTAATTGGAACATAAATTAAAACCAAAATATATGCATGGTAAACCTGAACTGAATCTCAACCAATGATTCAGTAATTCCTTGGCCGAATATGAGGGTTTTTCCTCTTCTACAGCAACTGTATTATCTTGCATCTCTCTGGGAGTTTTTGATTTACTCTTCTTGCCCATCTTATGGATCCAAAAGCTGCATTTCACCCAGATTACATTACTGAGAATTGACAAAAATGTATTTGCAGAGATGCTAGACTCGCCAGGAAAAAAGAAATCTGAAGGAGAAAAAAAAAGCCATTCAAGTTTTTGAAAAATCGGGCGCCTATGCAGGCTAGGTGGTTTTTTTTTCTCTAGAGTTGATGCCATTTTGGAGTTAGCATCAAATGGCATTCGTTTTCTCTGTAAATGGCCACAGGACCTTAATTCTTGTTGAGTGGTATAGAATGACATGCTTTATAATTCTTTCCTATTAGATTTCTCCTCTCTTTCTTTCGAAATTGAAATCGGAGTGATAGTTGGTCATTTGATTCTGATGATATTGGTTGAATGCAAGCAACTCCCAAGGTTCACCCTAATTTACGGAAACCAAGGAGTGGCTTAGACCCGATGAACAATGACCTTCCCAGCACCAACCTTGAAGACTCTATATCCTGCTTTGATTTTTCCAAGAATGATTCATGTCTCATATCAGCAACAGGAGGGATGATCTCCATTTTTGACATGATGAAAACGTTTAAGGTAAACCCAACACAAATAGTATTCTTGAAATTTTCTTTTCCCAGCCAAAACTTCCCAAATCTTGTTTGTCAATATGCTTAGGTTCTGTTTGCAAATTTCTCATGATCTAACTCATTGTACTCATACAAATCTGTTGCGTAAAAATGCAGACGACGAAGAAAGTCATGCCACCGCCACTGCGGCAACATGTCTTGCTTTCACCCCCGAGATGACAGTATAGTTGCCATTGGCATGGACAATTCCACCATTGTAATATATACAATCTCCACTCAGACGAGGTAGTTTGTTCGTTCTTAAAAAAAAAAAAAAAAAAAACAAAAACAAATCAATGTCAATGTTGATGAATCAAACCCGGAAAGAGTCATTGCCTTGATTTATATATTTTGCGGGTTACAAGGAAGCTTGAGGGCCACGCCAAAAGGGTCACTAATAGCCTTGCCTTCTCGAACACACTGAATGTACTAGTTTCTTCTGGTGCTGATGCACATTGGAAACTACAATATTACTTTCAGACATGGCTTCTACTCTAATGTGACTTCTGTTATTTAACGATCAACGTCGTTTTGTCCCTGCGGATTTATGCGTGGGGTGCTACTGGGTGTGAAAAACACAGAAGCAAATTGTTGCAGATTCCAGATGGGAAGGAGTTGAAATCATTGTCATATACTTACATCCAAATTCACGAGAATGAGCTGCACCTCATTGCCATAAACAAGACTCACCTTGCAGTGTATGAAGTGAGAGAACTAGCATGTGTTTAGGGGGAGGGGAGGCTACCCCATCCCAAGGTCAGGGCATACCAAGGCCTCTTTGAGGAACTATTTGGCTTTTTTAATTCTTCACTTTGGGATTAAAAACACAAGGCGCCCAAGAAGGGATCAGGCCACTCAATGTTTCACCATGATTTTTTTTTTTTTTTTTTTTATATAAGATGTAGTCACCGCCCCTTCACAAGTATATGATACTAACCTATACAAATTGTGTATCAATTTTTACTTTGCCTTGCATTGCAAATGCTCAAAAAGAGCCTGCATATTTACCATTGATTTCAAGAAAGATAATTAAGGTTCTTTTTGAAAATTCTGCAAGAGCTAAGTATTCTTCAAGTGGTCACACTATCTCTAGGAGGTTTTCCCTTAGGAATGACCGTCCGGTAGTTGTGGCATCACAAATGTAAAACAGAGATTAGAGGCCTGCCACCTTTTTGGCTTTGACCGGCAATATTATCATCTCCTGATTCACTTTTATATGTGTTGTTGCATAAGGAACCTGTTGTGTCAAACTTTTCACATGGGCACTTTACCATCCTCGCCGAAACAAAACTGAGCATGGCACATCATTGTGCTGTGGTGTTTTTGTATGCCTTGCAAATTCTCCTTTGCATAGAGAAAACGAACCATCAACGTAACCAGCAAAGGAGATAAAAGATCAAGAGTCCTGAAAATTCCAAGAAATGGGATCTCCTTGTAGAAAGGTCCTACTGCTGAAGCTGCAAAATGCATACATCATGTGATTAACTTGCCTATCAGATGTAAATATCAAATAATTTGGCATGCAAAGCAAGGCAAAAAGTAAATGAAATCAGCAGAAGACAAGGTCCATGGATGCATCTAACGAAACATTAGCTTATTTGTTTTGGTTGTCAAATGGCTACAGCATTCCTAAGTTATTACATACATTTGGCTCTTTACATATCAGGTCAGTATTAAAATTCCATTACTGATTTCGGTTCATCATCATATCACATTAGTCCCACCAGTTTTAACTCAAAGTTTATTCTCAAGTCTCCACTAAGGTTGCACCAAATTTCAGTTTGTATATTTGTTTATCCAAAAGGATCCCAAATCTGCTTCAAATATTTGTTTTGTAGACAAGTTCATATAATTCCAAATGTATATACTTGTATAAAATACCTATGTAATTTGAATATGAACTGTATGCCATACGACTAATTGCATTGAAAAGCCAATCAAAGGATTTAGTAGAAATAACCAGATTCAAAATTAAATCTTGCTAAACCTCAAACAGTATTTCTTTGGTCTATAGGATTAACTTCTCGTAACCGGCATTAGTAAAGCAGGGAAATTTCTACTCTTATCAAACTCATGAGATCAGAAGTCACATAAACTGACTACCAACACCTCAACTACAGAGGGACCTATTTTCAATTAAGAAAAACCTATATTGCCAAAAGACAAAATTATGAATAAAGACATGCTTAATATTTTATTAACACATCAAAGAATCATTATAAACTCTATCTCTGAGCCTGCATTCTATATGAATAACTAACACTGCCAAAACCATAAAAAACAAACAACATAATGCATTAAGTCACCAAACATACATGCCAGCTAAAAAACAGGAGAAAAAAAAAAGAGAGTAAATCTTACTGCTTGTAACTTAGATTTCTCGTCTCTTTCCTTTCAAATTTCTCAAGATGCAACACAAATGTTTCAGAAATGAGTACAGCTATGTTTAACATCAGATATAGCATATGAGCACAAGAACAAAAGATAATTATAAATGACTCACAAATTAAGTGTTATGTTTGTTTTAGGTGAACCTGGAGATGCTACTAAGGTTGAAACTTGAATCCCATACTCAAACTCATACAAATCCGACTATGGAGATCTAACAAGACATGTTACCTCTCAAATTGAATGAAAATATGGAAAAATGGGTATAACACTAGTCAAACAATGGATCTCCCTGTCCCCATCCATTTCATGTTTATGCATTCTTTAACTCATGTCCTGAAGATAACACATAAAACAACAAAAGTGGATACTCACAGAATGTAAACAAGTAGCTCAGGATCACCCTCATTGCTCTCCAAGTGTTCCTGTTGCAGAAAGTAGGATCAGATGAGGCTTAATATGCCTAGTAATTGAAACATAAATTAAAACCAAAATATATGCATGGTAAACCTGAACTGATCTCAACCAATGATTCAACAATTTCTTGGCCGAAGATGAGAGTTTTTCCTCTTCTACAGCAGCTGTACTATCTTGCTTCTCTCTGGGAATTTTTGATTTACTCTTTTTGCCCATCTTATGGATCCAAAAGCTGCATTTCACCCAGATTACATTACTGAGAATTGACAAAGATGAAATTTAAAAAGAAAAAATTCAAAAGAAGAGATGACTCAACAATTAGAGCCCCAGAAAGCAGCATACTCCTTTTGGGTCAGTTTGTAAAGAATCAAAACAACTTGAGGAACATGAAACTGAATATTTAGGTAAGAGAATATTTGTTCATCATCAGCTTCCTAGCAACCAAACATAACATAAACCAAAACAGAAAATGGAAAATACTTATTTTCAATTGCAATTTCTCAGCTTCTCATTAACTTTGTCTCTGGCAATTCAGATATCAAGGCTGGTCTACACAAACGGAGGTGATGCCATTTTGGTGTTAATTAGCATTCATTTTCTCTGGAAATGGCCACAGGACCTTAATTCTAGTGGAGTGGTAAAGAATGACATGCTTTATAATTCTTTCCTATTAGATTTCTCCTCCATTTCCTTTCGAATTGAAACCGAAGTGACAGTTTGTCATTTGATTCTGATGATGTTGATTGAATCCAGGCAACTCCCAAGGTTCACCCTAATTAATGGAAACCAAGGAGTGGCTTAGAGCTGATGAACAATGACCTTCCCAGCACCAACTCTGAAGAAGAGGCCATGTCCTGCTTTGATTTGTCCAAGAATGATTCATATCTCATATCACCAACAAGAGGGATGATCTCCATTTTTGAGTATTTGCAGAGATGACAGACCCGCTCGGAAAAAAGAAATCTTTTATATAAAACAAACGACATTCAAGTTTTCGAAAAGTAGGCCGCCTAGGCGGGCTAGGCGGGTTCTTTTTTTAATTTTATTTTAATAAACAGTATAGCCGTGCGGCTATACCTTTTAAATATATTATTTATTTAAACGGTACCGCCGTGCGGCTGTACGCCATGAATAATATATTTAAAGAGTAAAGCCGACCGGTTGTACTTTTTTTAAAAAAATTTATATTTTCTGTGATTTTCCTTTATCAATAAGAGTAGTTTAGAACATTATCCATTACTATTATGCCATACCCGAGTCTTTATTGTCCCCTTTTGACTTTTTTACTTATTACCCATAGAAATAATTTAGCATTTTCCCATTCAATACTTGTATTATATACGTAAGTACGTATTTTTCAATAATACTTTCGTTTTCTGTACACGTCTTAAAGACTCGGTAAAATACATATATTTTTTTTTAAAAGCAAACATACAATATATGTATTGTACATGTACATATATATTATTCATGTTTAATACACAAGTTTTTTTACAAAATTTTCAATAATACACAAAATTTTCACATATTATTGAATAAAAAATATATATATATTAAAATATTATATAGTTGCCGAATTTTTTAGTTGTAACTTGCTAAAAAAATTTCGAATAAATCACGTACGTATTTTTCCCATTCCGTATTTTACTAACTATGAAAGAATGTGAGAGGCTAAGATTATTTCTCTTTGTAACAATAATGCAAGACAGTGAACTTTCGAAATCTCTTTGCCAGCCAGAACAACAATTTCAAACAAAGATGTATGAGTATAGTAGTAAGAGGTGGTAGTATTCTTTTTGTAAAAAAAAAATATAGAACAAGAGATTAGGTGAGATTAGCTCTTCAGTATCGGTCATCGAATGCACAAACATCCACAACCCTCAAAGAAGGGACCAACACATTTCGAGAGCCCCCGCCCATCCCCTTGATCATAATTTCATTAATATAAAAGAAACATACAAAGAAAACACGTACTGCAGGGGGACCAAACCAAAACCCTGCAGAAAAGAAAGACAGTGACATAAAGGCACAGCAACATGCGGACCCAAAAAACCAAAACTTTGAAGGAGTAAACAAAAAGAGACTAAGTAAAACAATAACTGGGCATGCCCAGCTGGTCCCGATGACGAAGACAAAATAAATGAAGGTGCAATGTCCCACCACGTGAACCCAGAGCCCTGAACATCGTGATTTGCCAAAGTGTCAACTCTATGATTACCCTTGTGAAATATATGAGAAATCTTAAACAACATGTACTGGAGACGATGCAAGCAATTCTGCCAATCAAATCGCAAGTGCCAAGGGACCAAATGAGGAGAGCGAAAGAATTGAGTAACTAATAACGAATCAGTTTCAATCCAAACATTATGCCAAGCGTGAAGCCAAGCAAGCTTAATGGCCTTGATGACATCTAAAACTTCAACATGTACTGCACTAGGGACATCTAAATTGGAGCAAAATGCCCTAAGTACACAACCATGATAATCTCGAAACACACCACCACTACCTACTTTACCAAAGTCACTTTTGCGAGTGCCATCAGTATTAATTTTGACCGAACCAAAGCAAGGGGGATGCCACGTAACCTCAATAATTTTGGGATTAGGGCTGGGTCTACAGCGCACCCCAAAGGAACGAATAGTACACAAGTCACACACATTGTTCGACATATGACCCTTGGCCAAAGTACTAGAGGCACGCACATGATAAATGGTACAACAAGCAAAATAAACTGTAGAAACCTTTAAGTAGAATATTTTATAAGTATAGCCGCCCGGCTATACTCTTTAAACAACAAACTTTGGATTTCTCTTTTTACATTACTTTAATTAGTAGTTATGTTTTAATTATTATTTACTTAGTGAATAATTAGTATTTAAATATTTTATAAAAGAAAATAATAAAAAATAAAATGCTATTTATTAAGTAATATAATTTGTGGACTTAATTAAAATGTTTAATACTAATTATTCACTAAATAAATACTAATGAAATTAAATAAATAAGGCTATGATATTATTTAATTACTTAAAGAAAATTTGAAAAAAACAGCTAAAGACACTAAGTTTATATATATATATATATATTTCAAAAACCTCTCCCGACGAATATTTGCCGGATAAGACCTCTTTCGACGAAATTTCGTCCACAGAGCTAATTTTCATCGGGAGAGGTCTAATCCAGCAAATATTTGTTGGCATAGACCTGCTGTCGGGAGAGGTTTTTGCTTTTTTTGTTTTAATTTTTAAAAATATAAAATTAGTTTCTTTATTGTTTGGCCAACTTCTTTAATTTAATATATGTAATTAATTAATATCTTAGTCTTTTTAATTAGTAATTATTTTTTAATTATTTTTTCTTTAGTGAATATTTAAATATTACTGATTTCATAATTGACTTAATAAATAGTAATTAATTATTTTGTGGACTTTGTTTTTTCAATATTATATAATAATTAAAACATAATATGTTTAAAGGGTATAGCCGCATGGCTATAATGTTTAAATATTCGAATATATATAAGGAAATATGACAAAGGGAACTTAAAAAGATAAGCAACCTCTTTGTATCACTTCTCAAACACATTCAACGCACAAACAAGGAACAAAGCTAGAAATACATACCGTGTCTAATTGATTCATTATCTCGAGGCTCAACTTTCCTACAGAGAAATCCATATTTTTAATGTTGATTTAAAGAGTATGGCCGCACGGCTATACGCTATATAAGATTTTAAAGGTATAGCAACGCGGCTATACGATACTCAGTTAAACAAACTGAATTCTATATGTTTTATGTATGTGCAGCGGAACATCTGCTCGCTGAATGGTTAAACGGCAATGGGTTGTCGTTGAGCTTCAATCCTGATTTCCTCCTTCATTTTTCTTATAAAGTCTTCGAATTTTTTATTGAGTTCATCTGTTCTGTACTGGTAGTGGCTAACACGATTTGTTTCCAGCTCTGGCATGTCCATCTCTTCTTCTCGTTGCTTTATCAAAGATTCACTTCCTCCTCCTTTTTCTTCTGCGCTAAAAGCTTGAGGTATTTCTTCTGCCTGCAACAGAGCCCCATTTTTATGTTCTTCCTGTTGTCCATCTCCGTCGTCATCTTCTTCTTCTTCTTGTATAGTTGGCGATTCCCCTTCATCTTCACCAGCAGCATAAGCGATGGCGTCATGATCCAGAGACTCATTGTTGGATTCATGATTATTAATAGAGGTGGTGCTGCAACTTGAACTGCAAAGTCTAGGACTAGGCATAGAGATTGCTTAGTTTATGGGTCCACCTCCACCTTACCTATATTTATGTAAATAGTATATAGTATGGGGCAGCAACATTTTCTATATGGTCATATTGTTTAAATATAATGTAAGCTTGGTGAGGTAGGATTACGAATATAATCATCATCACGGATTCACGGAACGGATGATCAAGTGACATAAATTCATTGGACAGCTAGCCTTTAAAAAGGAGATAGCTATATAGATAATAGACAGAGAAGTTTGACCAAGATCTTCTTGACAAAGCACCTTAATTTGCAAGAATAATCATGCCTTCCAATTACGGGTTCATCAAAACCTCCCCCATTTAATTAGGAAATGGAAATACATTGCGCTTGGCAATGGCATTATGGCAAGCCGATGTTAATGAGGAAACTGACATTATTAATTGATTAATTATTGTATAATTTGAGGAGCCAATCTCTCGCACTCAAATGCATGTACAGAGTACAGACATGATGTATTCACTTCACTTGTACATCTGTTAATTGGTTGGTCACAGCAAAAATAAGTGAGGAAGGCAAGGCATACATATATAATATATATAATATATTAATTAATTGTCGAAGGAATCATGACCATTGTCTCCCCCTGTGAAGTCTTTGAGTTGGGTTTCTTCAAGCCAGGCAATATTTCAGGCTGGTACTTGGGCATATATATGGGTACAAAAATGTCCAAAACAGAACAGTTGTTTGGGTGACCAACATAGACACCCCACTTTCAAATTCATCAGGAGCTCTTTTGATGAGTGGTGAACATGGAAACATTGTCCTTCTTGATCCATCTGGAAATGTCAGTTGGTCCTCCAATCACACCCAAGTTTCGAGACCAAATGTCCTGCTTTTGGATATAGGCAATCTTGTGATCAAAGAAGGAACCGAAAACAGCCAAACATATTTCTGGCAGAGCTTTGATTATCCCACACACATTCTGCTTCCAGCTATGAAGCTCGGATGGAAGTTGAGCACATGTTTAAACAGGTACTTGACCTCGTGGAAAAGATCAGAGGACCCATCAACAGGGGGCTTTTCTATCAAACTAGATCACCATGGCTTCCCTGAGATTTTCCTTTGGGACATGAGGGTATATGCTGATGGTGGCCAAGATCTCAATGTTCTAGGCGGGGGCTAGGCGGGCTAGGCGGGCTAGGCTGGGGCTAGGCTCGCTAGGCAGTCTAGGCGGTGGCTAGGCGGCCTCTAGGCGGTCTAGGCGGGCGACATGAGGGTATATGCAGATGGTGCCCAAGATCTCAATGTTCTAGGCGGGGGCTAGGCGGGCTAGGCTGGGGCTAGGCTCGCTAGGCGGTCTAGGCGGGCGACATGAGGGTATATGCAGATGGTGCCCAAGATCTCTATGTTCTGGGCGGGGGCTAGGCGGGCTAGGCGGGCTCTAGGCGGTCTAGGCGGGCGCTAGGCGGGCGCTGCGCATAGAAAAAAAAAACACCATTTTGGAATCTCCAAGGTCAGGGAAGAGATCACGATGGTGCTATGAGCGAGAGACAGAGAGATGAGGATTGAAGAAGAAGTCTGAGCGAGAAGAGGGGCTGGAAGACGGCTCTTGTTAGAGTTAGGGTTTGAGAAGGAAAATTGCATTTATATGTTGAAGAAAAAAAAACAAAAGAAGAGATGGGCCCCCGATTACTCCTCATTCTGAAACCCCTTTTATTTTCTCTCTTGTGTATGCAGTGCAGGTGCCAAAGACTGGAAAAGGCAAGAAAAAAGGCTCAACCCGTTAACAAGGAAGGATATTTTATCATCAGCAAGATGTTTCTCCATGGGGATTCAGTTATCATTGTTCTTAGGAGTATTAAGTGAGGTGTATTGTATGTAGCTTTGACAATTCCAATAGACTTGTACAAGTAGAGTTCATGCTGAAGATTTATATGCACTGAAGTTGGGAGCTTTTATATGCACTTTTTTAAATTAAAGCAACTTTCAAGTGTTGTATATTTCTTTGGATTTGTTTGTGAATTTCAGTTTACTCGTATTGAATGCACTTTTTAGTCGTATAGTTCTTGAACAAAACTTAACTCGTTTGAATCTGTTGGTGAATTCAATTGATAGGTATTTGCACTTCACCATATATAAGTGGTAATCTTAATTTACCTTGTGCAAGACTTGGTGAAATTATATAGTGGTAAGGTATCACCACGTAAACTGATGATATACTTTTTAGGAAATGTGTCTTTCTTACTATTATAACCGAAATTATATACTTTCTTTTGAAAGGAACAATGACAATACATTGTCCCATTAACTATACAAAAGATCATATAGCTTTTTTAGGAACAAAAATAATTTAAATTTGACATCTTGTACCTTAATTACATTATTGACACAAAGATTATCTGAAGAAATTCCATATTCTGGGTATCGAAGTGGAATCGTTGGTGACAAATCTAAATCTATAACAAAAAAAAATATTTCTATATATGGGTTAGCTAATGTTGGGACTTTTGTCTGAATCACGAGCGCTCTGCATCATGCAAAAGGTGTCTCAATACAGCAAGCCAAAATCTTGGCGAGCGTTGTCGTCTTAGTCGAGGAGCTATAATATGGATGGTTGGTTGCATCCTAAAATACTCAGACACAAAATTCTTTGGTATAATCGACAAGGATAACATGGTGTATATGGGAAAAATCCTCAATGTTCTGTTCCTAATTCCAAGTTATTTCCAATGGCACTAGATCATTTGTTAAATTGATTAACTTCTGAAATTGTTTTCGGACAATTTGTATGCTACTGGAAGCATTCAGGTGACAAAGAGGAATAAAAGGACAAAAAGGATTGATCTTTATAGTTTCGGTCGAGTGTACTAGAGACTTGTCACATGAAGATTGCAAGAAGTGCCTTCACGTTGCAATAAACGAACTTCAAGGTTATAGTCAAAGAATGAGTGGTGGACGTGCTATTTATGGGAGTTGTTATGTCAGATTGAATTTTACATCTAATACTAAAATTTGTTTCTTTCAAATGGAGGTATTTATGAATAAGTAAAAAGATGTGTTAACCTTAAAAGAGATAAAATATTAAATAAATCTCAACTTCAATAGGACTAAATAAATGGGTGTGTAGGATTACATAAACGGGTAAGTACCTAAATAAACTCCCCAACACCAAATGGACAAAAATTAAGATTTATATATGTGTATATATATATATATAGACAATCTTAAGGTTTGTTTGATAACCATTTCATTTTCGCTATTTTTGAAACTCATACTTTTGAAAAAGAAAAGATATTTGGTAACATATTTCGTTTTCCGTTTTCAAAAAAGTGAAATCAGGTTATCAAAATTACCCTTATTTTTTACAACAATTTGAAAGTGGTTTTAGTTTTCAATTTTCGTGCGCTCTTTTTCACTCATCAATTTGACATAACCAAGCATGGAATGCATTCGAGGTACCAAAACTCAGTATTTGGGACCACCTTTAACTACTTTAATTACTTTAATTAGTAGTTATGTTTTAATTATTATTTACCTAGTGAATAATTAGTATTTAAATATTTTATCAAAGAAAAAATTTTAAAAAATTAAATACTATTTATTAAGTAATATAATTTGTAAAGTTAATTAAAATAATTAATACTAATTATTCACTAAAGAAATAATAATTAAAATGTAATTACTAATGAAAGTAATTATATAAGGCTAAGTAAGATATGATTTAATTAATAAAAAGAAAGTTTTTTTTTAACAAAAAAAAAATCTATTGACTTCAAGAAACTAAGTATATTATTTCTTTTTAAAATAAACCTCTTCCGAAGAAATTTTTTCGGGAGAGGTCTAATCCGGCAAATATAAATTCATATTTTATTGTTGGTGCAATGTGGAATTATCTTTAAAGGATAGAATATTTCAACAGTATAGTTGTAGGGCTATACTCTACAAATAAAATATTTCAATAGTATAGTCGAGCGGCAATACTTGATAAATAGAAATTTTCAATAGTATATAGCAGCTGGGCGATACTCTCTAAATAGAAATTTCAAACGTATAGCCGCCCGGCTATACCGGTAAATAGAAATTTCGAACGTATAGCTGCGCGGCTATACGCTGTAAATAGAGTATTTCAATAAATTTTCAAAGTATAGCCGACCGGCTATACTATGTAAATAGAGTATTTCAATTAATATTTCAACTGTATATGCTTAACCACAAAGACATAATAACCTTCACTCCATCATACCATCTTCATTACTAAATTTATTCAATTATAAAATTACTAAGCTATTCCAAATATGATTCATTCCACCCACTCCCAAGCTCATTCACGTTTGTTTACATTAACCCAAGCAAATCCTGGACTGAAACATCCTGTTCATATACTTGAAGAAGTGTTGGCACTGCACTAACCTGAGAGAAGATGAAATCCATTCCCTAAGGGTTCGAGCATTCAACATAGTTTCGGCTGTTGTAAAGGTCTTCGAAACTACCACAAGTGCAAATATCAAAAGAATATGAATGAACGATAAGAAACCCCACGTAGAGCTTAGATTACAAAAGTCAATATGTAGTGATATAACTAAACTTAATGCTTATCAAGGGTAGTTTCTGGGTTTAACTCTGCAATATTTCGGGCAACTTCAAGCACCACAACTACAACCAACACACAGAATACAGATGGTGGCCAAGATCTCTACGTTCTAGGCGGGGCTAGGCGGGCTAGGCTGGGGCAAGGGTCGCTAGGCGGTCTAGGCGGGCGACATGAGGGTATATGCAGATGGTGGCCAAGATCTCTGTGTTCTGGGCGGGGGCTAGGCGGGCTAGGTTGGGGCTAGGCGGTCACTAGGCGGGCTAGGCCTCTAGGCGGTCTAGGCGGGGGCTAGGCGGTCTAGGCGGGCGGTCTAGGCGGGCGCTGCGCATAGAAAAAAAAACGCCATTTTGGAATCTCCAAGGTCAGGGAAGAGATCACGATGGTGAGACAGAGAGATGAGGATTGAAGAAGAAGTCTGAGCGAGAGAGAGGGGCTGGAAGACGGCTCTTGTTAGAGTTAGGGTTTGAGAAGGAAAATTGCATTTATATGTTGAAGAAAAAAAAAAAAAAAAAAAAAAAAGAAGATGGGCCCCCGATTACTCCTCATTCTTAAACCCCTTTTATTTTTCTCTCTTGTGTTTTGTTCCACTATTCGGTTCTGTCTTCTTTTATGTTGGTTGGTAGATCTTCATCAATCATCAAAGTTCTTTTTTCTCGTGATATTTGTGTGATCTTTTTTTTCTTTTTTCTTTTTTTCTTTTTGTGTGTGTGTGTGTGTGTGTGTGTGTGTATGCAGTGCAGGTGCCAAAGACTGGAAACGGCAAGAAAAAAGGCTCAACCCCTTAACAAGGAAGGATAGATTATCATCAGCAAGATGTTTCTCCGTGGGGATTCAGTTATCATTGTTCTTAGGAGTATTAAGTGAGGTGTGTTGTATGTAGCTTTGAATAATTATACAGAGAATGCATCTAACATAGTCCCTGAATATGGGCTATGTTTCTTCAAGCACCACAACTACAACCAACAAACAGAATACAGATTGCTTTAAAAAATAAACACAAAGAAAATTTGAAAGCATGCAAAAGCATGCCGTGTCCTAAAATCCTATGTGCTGTATCAAATACAAAATGCTTCTCTATATGTCTTTAACAGATGAATGCATACCTCCTTCAAGAACTATGCCACTGAAATAAACTCATGAACACAGACAATCTCGTTGTTCCAATCAGGTAGGTCCTAAAATGAAGGAGCTGAAAGAAAATATTAAAGTTCGAACTTACGCCCTCATCTTGGAAGGACTTGTTCCATCAGCACCACCAACTATTGATCTTGACATCTGATGTAAATCTATCAGAAATAAATGAACAAAATATAACTTAATCAGAGCTAACTTGGTCTTAGAATGGTAGGTTTTAATAAAATTTCTCAAGATGCAACACAAATGTTTCAGAAATGAGTACAGCTATGTTTAACATCAGATATAGCAGATGAGGATAATTATAAATGACACACAAATTAAGTGTTATGTTTGTTTTAGGTGAACCTGGAGATGCTACTAAGGTTGAATCCCATACTCAAACTCATACAGATCGGACTATGGAGATCTAACAAGACATGTTAGCATTGAAATTGAATGAAAATATGGAAAAATGGGTACAAGTACTCAACCAATGGATTTCCCTGTCCCCATCCGTTTCATGTTCATGCATTCTTTAGCTCATGTCCTGAAGATAACACATAAAACAACAAAAGTGGATACTCACGGAATGTAAACAAGTAGCTCAAGATCACCCTCATTGCTCTCCAAGTGTTCCTGTGGCAGAAAGTAGGATCAGATGGGCTTCATATGACTAGTAATTGGAACATAAATTAAAACCAAAATATATGCATGGTAAACCTGAACTGAATCTCAACCAATGATTCAGTAATTCCTTGGCCGAATATGAGGGTTTTTCCTCTTCTACAGCAACTGTATTATCTTGCATCTCTCTGGGAGTTTTTGATTTACTCTTCTTGCCCATCTTATGGATCCAAAAGCTGCATTTCACCCAGATTACATTACTGAGAATTGACAAAAATGTATTTGCAGAGATGCTAGACTCGCCAGGAAAAAAGAAATCTGAAGGAGAAAAAAAAAGCCATTCAAGTTTTTGAAAAATCGGGCGCCTATGCAGGCTAGGTGGTTTTTTTTTCTCTAGAGTTGATGCCATTTTGGAGTTAGCATCAAATGGCA